GCGGGGTCAACTCTGGCTGTTGTAACCTTGTGCTTTGAAAGGGCTGAAATGGGCTGCTGAGCAGTTGTTAAGGTCACCAAATCCTGCTCAATCTCCCGTGCTGCTCTCTGCTCACCAAATTTCAGTGGCAGGGTCTCTGGAGGTGTTCAGGGAGGCAGAGCTGTTTGCAGCACAGGGCAGAGCAGCATTTCAGCAGGCTGGAAGTCATGGGGGTGTCCCCAGGCAGGGCTCTGCCTGCAACATCCGACACGTGTGGAACGCGGTTGCTGCTTCCTCTGCCCCCACAGCTGCAGCTGCTCTGGTTTCCCGCCTTGTGGTGGAACTGGGGGCTTGGTGAGCAGGGCCTGGGGGACAGAGAGGGCTATGGGTTTGCTTTGGAGGGGTTATGAGGCCTGTCCTTCTGATAAAGTCATGAAAGAGGTAAAATCTCCTGTGTTCCTCTGCTGGGCTCCGCACTGGTGTCCCTGAAGGTGTTGCCAGCCCTTGGGTACCTGCCCTGCGTCGTGCAAGCATCTCCTCCAGCAGCTCACAGCTCGCTGCTGGTAGGAAATCTCCAGAGTCTCCTAGGGCACGTTTTTATTTTATCCAGCCCATTTGTTCAAGTTTTGTCATCTCCACAGGGGCTGAATTTCCACTTCAAACAATTGCAGGCAACCAAATTATTTATAGGGGTCTTCTCTTTTCAGACTCATCCCTCCAAGTATGATTCTTTAAGAGTCTTAAAAATAGCTTTTCAGTAACTTCTGCGTTTCTTTCTTCTGGTCTCTGGAGAGAAGTCCCTGCACTTCCAAGTTGAGTAGAGCTGTTGCTTAAGCCCTGACAGCTGCCTTTCCTGCTCACATGGAAGTGCCTCTTCCCCTTCCCAGTCCCAGCCCAGTTGCCTGACTGCAAACCGTCGTGACCCAGGAGATTTCCTCCTGCCACACTGGATAAAGTTGCGTGCTACATGCAACCCCCTAACTCAGTGTTTGCAACCACATTTAAGGACCAAGCAAGGCTCCCACCATCAAGGATACCTGAGCAGGACACCCAAATCATCCACTGAGTGTCCTCAGGAAGCTTGTAGCACCCAAAGCCCTTAAATTGCTGTAAATAACCCAAATTTTTAGCACAGAGCTGGCTCCTCCAGCACACGGAGCAGAGGAATCCTGACAGAAAGGTCAGGGCTTTTTGATGGGCAAACTTTATAAAAGCACACCAAGGTGTTATTAATAAATGCACATTTGTGTGTGGTTCATCCAGACCTCCCCACTTCCCCAGCTCTGCCCAACTTCCCTGGCCAGGCAGACAGGAACTGCTGCAATCCTGGAGCTTCCCGGCAGGAGTCAGAGTGGGTCGGTGTCCCCGGGATTTGCAGGACAGCTGGCATCATTAACTGGCTTGTTAGGGGACCCAGGAACCACAGGACAGGGTGCTGGCTGTAGGAGATGAGCGACACACCGGACCCAAAGCAGGCTGGGATCTTGCTGTCCTGTCTCCACTGGTTCTGCTCTTTTCCATCCTGGAGAGAGGGACTGCTGCTCTGGGATGTCCCTGTAGCTGCCAAGCAAGCAGGATCAGGGTTTGTAGCAATGAGGCTGCAACATCCAGCCCCACGGGCAGCCTGGCTTCATCCCACCGGCTGTGGGAGAGCAGCTGAGGGGCTGGGGAGTGCCAGCTCTGCACCAGGGCTGGCTGGCACATGTGCCAAGACATTTATCAGGGCTGGCTGATAAATGTGCTCTCCTTCTCTTCTGCAGAACAAAGTGGTGGCCGTGGATGGTGTGAAGGTGAAGTTGCAGGTGAGTTCTGGGCAGGGGGAAGCAATTCCCAGCCACATTGCTGGAAACCTCCCCCAGGCTGAGCGTCGTGGGCCGTTGGGGCACGGAGCCACAGAGGTATCCTCAGCTGGGAGGGTGTTTCCCCTCCCTGATCTCACCAGGGTGGCTTCTTGGCAGATCTGGGACACGGCAGGACAGGAGCGGTTCCGCAGCGTCACCCACGCCTACTACAGGGATGCCCAAGGTGGGTTTGGGGTCTGCCATGGATGGGGGAACTGCCTGAAATGCATCCCTGCAGCGTGACAATGCCTCTGCCTCTTCCCCCCCAGCCCTGCTCCTGCTCTACGATATCACCAGCAAGATGTCCTTTGACAACATCCGCGTGAGTCCCCCCGTGGGTCAGGGGTGTGTTCCTCCCCAGGGACTGGGGTCGTGGGTGCCCTGCTTGGCTGGATGGGTGTTTAGGGCAGTTGGAAACCTGTTTTACAAATAAGTGCTGGCTGGTTTGGCCAGACTCAGCCAGTCTGGAGCTCGTCCCAGGGCACCTGGCTGGGTCCTGCATGGCTGGGTGAGTTTTGTCCAGGGACATGGAGAATGCCTGGAGGGAGAAAACGCTGTTTGGGAAGGATGTGAACTACTCGTAGGCTTGGGCTGTAGCCAGGAGACGGGGCTGTTCGGCTTTGATGCTGGAATAGTTCCCGTGCCAACAAAATAGTCATTATCCCTGTCCTCGTGGGGTGGTGTGAGGGCTGAGGGGAGGGGCAGGATTACCAAGAGGATGTGAGGGCTGAGGAGGGAGGAACAGGGGTACCATGGGGGATGTAAGGGCTGAGGCAGGAGGGACGGGGGTACCGCTCATCCCGACACAGCCCCACTTCCCTGCAGGCCTGGCTGACGGAGATCCACGAGTACGCACAGAAGGATGTGGTCATCATGCTGCTGGGCAACAAGGTGCATGCAGGGTCCCCTGGCCCTGTGCTTTGCCATGTGGTGCTGTGCCATGCCCTGGCCATCCCCATGGCTGTGCAGGGATGGGCTCGGTGGGCTCTGCCTGCCAGCTGTGTGCACCCTGCCTGCACCCTCCGCTGGGTTCTGCTCCTTTCTGGGCTCGGCCAGGCCCAGAGGTGACCCCAAAGGTTTGGAGGGGGCAGGGGTGTGGGCAGGGTTCCCTACAGCCATTGGGGGGCAGCACGAGGCTGAGGCTCCCAGTACGGGATGCTCCCTGCATGGGATGCTGCTGGGTATGGGATGCCCACTCTGGCCTGGATGCACCCCTGAATCCCAAGTTACTCCAAGCCCCAGATGCCCAACCAGGCCCCAGATCCTCTCCAGGGGTCCTAGGTGCTACGGGGTGCCCAGTGCCCAACTGGGTACTGGATTTTCCCCTGAAACTGGATGCCTCTGGATCCTGGATGATGCTGGGTATTTGATGCCCAGAAGGGTACCAGAGCCTCCCTGGGTCCTGGATGCCTGCAGATACTGGATGCTGCCCCACATCCCCCATGTCCCCAAAATCCTGGATGCCCCCTGATATCCTCAATGCCACCAGGTCCCAGATGTTCCATAGATCCCAGATTCTCTGGGCACTGGATGCTCCTGGATCCCCCATGACCCTCATTCCTGTCAGCCCTGTGAGCACCCCACACTGCCTGCTTGCCAGATGCCCCAGGGTGCCAGCTGGCCTGGTGTGTGGTGACATTTTCCTTCCCTTGGCAGGCTGATGTGAGCAGCGAGAGGGCTGTGAGGACAGAGGATGGAGCATCGCTGGCCAGGGTGAGCTGTGCCAGGGTCTAACCCAACTTCATCTCCCCAGTCAGTTGCCTGTCACTCAGGGTCCCCATACAGCTGTGCCATCCCCTCTGATGGGTGCCCAGACCCACCTGGCTCTTGGGCAGTCACTTAGACAAAAAACCTGGGGCAAGGCAGGGAGGGGATGGCCCCCAAGCCTTGGCCAGGCAATGGGTGATTCAGAGGGGCAGGAGAGCATTCTGGGGATAGCCACTGATGGGGTCGTGCTGCCTTGCAGGAATATGGGGTGCCTTTCATGGAGACGAGCGCCAAGACAGGCATGAACGTGGAGCTGGCCTTCCTGGCCATTGCCAAGTGAGTACCTGGGGCCAGGGGACTGAGCAAGGGAGGTGTCCCCTGCAGCCCCACCACCTCCCACACTGATGCTGGAGTGTGTGTGTGTGGGTAACACGGCCCCACCGCTGCAGGGAGCTGAAGCAGCGCGCGATGCAGCCGCTGGACGAGCCCCGGTTCCAGATCCACGATTATATCGAGTCACAGAAGAAGAAATCCAGCTGCTGTGTCTTCTCCTGAGGGCGGCCGGGAGGAGCCAGCAGCCCTGGGGGCACAGGCAGGAGACAGAGAGGGGCCTGATCCTGCCCTCGAGTGCCTGAGGGAACCAGGCTCTGACAAGCCAAGGTGGACGGGACAATACAGCGGAGCAGAGAGTGCACGAGGAGGGCCCTCGCCCCAGTTCCAGGATCCAGGGGCCAGATCCTTCTGCCCCGTGAAGCAACGCCTGGAGCTTGCTGTGTGCCACTGTGGGAATCACTGCGGTGTGGTGACTGCCAGCCTGGCCAGTGAGCCACGCGATGCTCCATCTACCCAGGACCACAGCCAACACACCTTCACTAGGACACCTGGAGCGGCTGGAGGGGCAGTGTGTGTGCCATGGATGAGCCCCCCCGCAGCCCCCAGCCCTCTCCTCCCTTGCAACCATCCCTGCTCTCGGTTCTGCTCTTGTCTGACTGGAAGGGCCTGATCCAGCCCCTGTGTCCCTAGTTGCTGCCAGGCTCTGGCTTCCCTCCAAGGATCCTCAGCTCTGCCCCCCGGGCTGCCCCACGCCCCAACGCTCACATTGGGCTGTGGCTCCTCTCTGCTGCAGTTGCTGCCATTGGCTTTTATCCTCATGCCACCATGAGGGCAGTGATATCCTCATTGTATCCTGGCTCTGCTTGAGGGAAGGGCTGGGATGGGGAAGGGTCCAGCCAAACCTGCTCCCTGCCCATACAACTGTCATAAGAAATAAAACTCCCCTGGGAGCACCCAAACGATGTTTGGGGCATTTCTAGTACACACAGCAATTTAGAAACAAGTTTATTTTTCCCCATCTTGTAGTCACGGGAATTAGAGGAATTCTTTTTTTTTTTTAAGAAAAGCCTTTTTATTTTCAATCCCTCCAGACTAAACCATCTCCAGCCTCATGCAGGAGATGCTCACTGTGGCCTGGGGTGATGCTCCAGCCCTGCTGGCTCCCAGGCCAGGCTGGGTTTCTCTCCCATCGCTGCCCATGGAACACAACTATTCCTTCCTGCTGCTGGCAAACAGCAGCTGGAACCTACTCACTGGAGACCAGATGCCTGAGATCCTCCAGCCAGCAAATGCTGCTCTGTTGGGCATCAGCAGGGCACAGGGGCAAGGCTTGACCTCCGTGTTGCTGCACATCCCTGGTGCTCAGCCCAGCACTGCTGACCCCTCCAGCACACTGCCTGCTCCCCTGAGCACTACCCAGGGCAGTCAGATGGTGAATATTTGGTTCTGCAGCTGAAGCGCTCATGTGAAGAGCAGCTGTGGAGGGCATGGCACTGCTGCACGTAGGAGTTGGGGACTGTCCTGCACATCTGTCCCCGTCAGCATCTTCCCTGGCCCTGCGCCCGAGTTGCTCGCCTCTCACCTGCCCCAGTGCCTCCTTTGCCTCTGCACTGCTCCTGGGTCTGTCTTTGCAAGTTTACAGATTAAAGCTGGATATTTTTGAAGCTTTGCATCTGTCTGGTTGTTTATTGCATGAGAAATCCCTGCCCTGGGTCTGCAACGTGGGAGGCTGCTGCACACAGGCGTTGAGGAGCCGCGGGGCCGGGGGGCCGTGGGAGCAGCCATGGGGAGGGGGAAGCACCCACAGCCCCTTCCTCCCCACTGGGGCTTTCGTTGCACATTTCAGACAGTCCAAAGGTGAGAGGGGAAGAGTAAACATGGCCTGTTAAATTAAAACCAACCTCCTCCCCTGCTGTTCTCATGGTGCGGAGTCCAGCATTCCCCAAATAACTCCATCTTCCCACCAATGGCATTGCTGCTGCCGCTTGGCTGATGTCTGCAAAAAATGCTGGATGGCTTGAACACAAACAGACGTTGGCTCTTTTCTCTTTTCCCCCCTCCAGCTTGAGCTCCGTTAACGTCACGCCAAGATGCAAAGGGCAGGAGGCAGCTGGGGCGCAACGGTGCTGCCTGTGCCCTGCCATCCTGCGGGCACTGCCGGACCCAAAAGCAACCCCAGCTGTTTCCTCTGCTGCTGCCTTTGCTCCTTATCACGGTCCCATGCTCAAACCAGCCCTGCTGGAGCTGGGTTTTGTTTCCTGACTTAGGGTAGTGTACCTCCATCTCCCCCTGAACGTGCACACTCGGGGCTGTGCTGCTCACAACCCCCTTGCCAAGGGGAGGGCTGTGACACGGGTGATAGATCCCCCCATCCTGGGGCCGTACCACAACACGCTTGCCCTGGTTTTCCTCTCTGCAGGCATCTGCCTCTGGCCGCCGTGGGATTCCTCTCCGCCGTGTTTCTCAGGGCTGAGCGGCCGCGGGCAAATGCTCAGCCGAGTGGAGGAAACAAATGAGCCCACCCTCGGCTCCCAGCTGGGTCCCACGGAGCTGGAGCACGGCCACCCTGAGCACATGAGGGGTTCCTCAGCCACTGAGGTCCCTTCAGCAGGAGGTTCGAGTGGAGTCTCCTATGAGGGACGTGTCCCATGGCACGCAGCCGTCCCCTCCTTGCTTGCCTGGCTGCAGCTCGGTGAAACACGATCCCAGCTGCCCTGAGGACCTTTGGCCAGGTGGAACTTCAGCCAGCCCTGGCAGTGGGAGACACCGACTTACCTCTGTGCCACCCTCCCTGGGACAATTCCAGGAGCCAGCTCTGCCTGGCACCAGCACTCCTGCTGCAGTGCTGGAGCAGCCCAGGCTTGCTGCTGCCTTGCTCTGCCCTGGCTGACCCCAAACCCCAGGATCTCACACGCTCATAACCCACTGCAGCCACTTCTGCTTCCCAACCCACAAGCAGAGAATGTGGAGCCAGGGCAGTGCAAACCCCCTGGGGTTTCCTCTATCTTCCCACTTTCCTGCTCCCTGCTCCAGGGTGCCAAGGGGGAGTCAGAGACTGCTGGGGGAGCAGGGCTGCTCCATTTCCACCGCAGAGTCGGTTACCGGAGTTACCGGCCAGCACGGCCTCCCCGGCCGCGTTCACACGCGGTTTCGGTTTGGGGTTTTTATCTCACTCTGA